TTACATTTTCTCTCAAATATTATTATTGGCATTATGTAACTTTTCACCTTTCCTAAGCCTTGTATATTTTACGGTTACTATATCTTATGAATACGATTCTGAAATAAACTAATCTGATATATTAAACGGTTTCTTTTCATTAGTTTGGTACATGTTATAGTATAACATTTGCAAGATATGAATGTTGTTGTATACCTGGAAACATAAAGGTAGTCTAACGAGTTGAGTTAGGGAAAATCTTCTTTGGCTCTTTTGGTTACAGCGCTGCCTTTAGATCCAGAGATTGAGGGTTTGATTCCCGCTGGAACCATCCATGAGTTTTGCGAGCAATTACTACTTGTACATACAAGTGTGTATACGTGCTTGGCAGTTTGGTATGGTCACGAGTGTCAACCAGGACATAGGTGACCGGTACATGTCTATGTGACATGCAGGGAACTGGCCAGAGGATTACCAAGAAGAGGTCTCGGGGTTGTACAGTAGTGGACCTGTGAGTTGCTCGGATGGATGGTATGCAGCCCGAAAAAAGAATAGGGGGAAGAGTGTTGTACACCTGGGAATATAAAGGTAGTCTAACTAGTTGAGTTAGGGAAGATCTTATTTTACTCAAGCGGTTAGAGCGCTGCTTTAAGATCCCGAGATTGATAGTTCGAATCCCGCTTGTACCATCCATGGATTTTTACAACAATGATTAGGAATAGATTAAAGACAAATTTGTGATAGGACATGCTAAATAAAGGCAACAGTAGTATACCGCTGTTCGAAATTCATAAATCAATTGAAAAAAAAAAAAAACAAATCCGGGTTACAAACTACAACTAAGGGAAATACATCAAATAAAAGAGGAGAACTACGACACATCAGAAACACAACACTAAAATTTAACACACACAAAAACGAACTATAATATAACAATGGCCATTTTCCTGACTTGGTACAGGACATTTTGAGAAAAAAACAAATGGTGGGTTAAACCTGGTTTTGTGACTAGCCAAACCTCCCGCTGTTATGGCAATGTTAAATATAACATTAAAATGACAACATTACATGACAGGACTACACTACAAATAAATGGGAGAACATATAGGACAGAGAAACACACAAATAATAGCTATCAAAAAGTATATATGTTTATGTAACAGTAAATTTGTAAAATCAGGGATTATGTAGAATCCCTTTAAATTTCAGGGATTATGTAAAATCACTGGTTAGTTTAGGGATTATATATAATCGCTCCAATTTTCAGGGATTATTTATAATCACTAGAAAAAACGTCATGGACTATATAGATTAACTGAAATATATAACATAAAGTAAAGAAAAAAAAGAAAAACATGGCATACATAATATTCTTTTTGTCGGACTTTTTTTTAACATTGTTTTTCACTGAGAATATAGAATAAAATGAAAAAAATGAAATCGTCAATAAAGCTAGTTTACACGTACAATCGTAGTGATAGTCGTTCGGTTGTATGACGGAAACCAAGTGTTAAGCACAATATTTTAAAAACAATCATTTATTTTAACAAATTTGGATGGCATCGAATATTACACATTTGCCCTACCTTTGTACAGTCACATATATTCAATTCACATCTGTTTTTACCACAATATCAACATTCTAAAAAACATTGTTCATTATATATCGAATAAGATTTTACGGCACGTCTAAGACAAACAGAGTTTAAAGCAACATCTGAAGGTACCGTTTAAGGGAAATCAGCCTTGAATTGATATCATGTATGAGATCTGACCAGGATTCAATGCGTTATGGCAAGGCGTTAATCTTTTTCAGTCCTTTCGTGAATAATGGCCAAGATGTTTTTGCGATCTCTTTTTCCTCGAAACACTTGTGGAATTGTAATGAGATATGCATATCTTGCATTTTGTTTTTCCTCTGCAATTTGAATTAACATTCAACCCAAGCAATATCTGTGCCTGTACCATGCTTATTTGTTCGTGACATAATGAGGTTTAACAGATGAGTAAAATATAAATGAAAAAAAACTGATCACTTAAGATTCACATAGTAGATCAGGAATGCAAACTGTTCACTTTAACTTTCAAGGAGTAAGAAAAACAAAAAATGATAATATGTCTATATTTATTTATTCTTTTCATGAAACAAAGAATCATTGAATAATTGATAATACCTGAAATCATATTTGTGAATTTGTAGAATAATTATTAAAATGTTCAGTGTTTATGTAAAATCACCGGTCATTTTCAGGGAATCTATATAATCACTAAAATGGTTTAAGTGATTCTACATAATCCCTGATAAAACAGGAATTATACATAATCCCTGATTATACAAATTCACTGTAACATATACATTACAAGATTATTGCATCGTATTTACTTGCGTTTGTTTAAATTACATCCATTAAGTGGCTAAGAAATAATGGATATATTAATTGAAAAGTTTTCAACGAATGGAATTCTTCAAACCACACTGACTTAACAAGAACAGCCGATATTAATCAACTTCGACTGAGGCTTTCGCTAAATTATGTTTTAGTACTTGTTTTTTTTATATCATTATAACTTAACAGACTAAACAAATTTTTGTTGAACTCCCTACAAGATTCTGGTAAACTGAATCCCCCTATCCAATATAACTCTACATTCGAGTTGTAGACCTTATTACCTGATCGTCATCCCGGTCTTCCCACTTTGCAGAATCTATTGCTGTATTAATATATATCAATGTTTGAGCCAGTTCTAAATATGCATAAAGTAAACATCATTTGACTTTAAGCAAGCAACATAAATTAATCATTAGTCCAAGGATTGTCATCAAACGTTGAACTTTCTTTCAATTATAGGTGGCAATCAAGGACTGTTACCAAACTGCTTTTATTTCTAATTTATTTCACGCAACGTAATAAGTTGAATTTATATATGTTGCCTCAAAGAAAGAAACTATGTATAAAGAAACAACTAAATGACTCAAAGAATTACCTTATAACTGAAGTATAACAAACACATTGGACATCACGTACGAGATAATTCATACTTCTACTAATAAGAAACGTAGCGCCTTTGCCTATTGTCTTTGTGAATGTTAATTTTACTGCTTGGTCTGTTTTTGGTAATGTCCGTTTGACGTGACTCTGTTCTATGACATTTTTTGTATTTTTGTCTTGCATTTTTGCTAGTGTGCTTTGTCTGTATTCCCTTTTGTGATTCTTTGATACATATGACATGGTTCTGCACTTATACACACCGTCATTGCGTTATTATGCTATTGTATTTTTTTGTATTTTTGTCTTTCATTTTTGCTACTGTGATCTGTCTTTATGCCTTTTGTGGGCTTCTTTGTTACATATGTGTTTGTTTTTATAGTGATTTAAACATGTTAAATTGTGACACAATGTTGACTGCTGAACCCCTATTTTTGGACATTTTTACTTTTTGTGTCTGTGTGTTTTGTTCACACATTATTTTCAATATATTAGCATTTGATACTACTATCATACAATTGAGAGGTTTAGCTAGCAGCTGTAAAACCAGGTTTAATCAGCTATTTTGTACATAAAAAAATGCCGGTACCTATTCAAGAATATGACAGTTGTTATCCATTCGTTTGATGTGTTTGAGATTTTGATTTTGCCATTTGGTTAGGGACTTTCGTTTTTTTTAATTTTCCTCGGAGTTCACTACTTTTTAATTGTGACTTATCTTTGGTTACCTCCTTAACTGTGCCATTAATAAGTCGATTGTAAGTTCACTTCATAACATTATAGCAAGATTAAAGGCATTCGGTGAAACTATATATTTACGTATTAGTATTTCTATTGACATTAAAATTTAGATAGTATACATTCTGCGAAGTAACAAAATTCTTTTTAAATGAAAATATTAATCGTTAGTAATTAAACAAATCTAACCTTGTTATGGATATATGTGCAGTTAAACGTTTTCTCTGCATTCCATTCAAACTAATATACTCCTTGAAGATTCTTGAAAAGGTTCTCTATCGTATTTTATTCGGTAGAGCAAAAAACGTATAAGGAAAATGAACCCACAACAAATTGATGACAGACATTTGTAGAATTTAATAAGGTTGGTGTGTTTTCTGTGACAGTGCTGATAACATCAACATGATCAATGTAAACAAATCATTAATTCTTAATTTTTCCTCTTTTCGAATGTTCTTTTCCGTTATCATTTATTGAAAACAAAATGAAGAGGAAATAAATACAAATAAAGTACAATGGACAACTTTTACTTCGAATCATTATAACAATTTAATAATTCATATAGTTTCATTTCTTTCCATTTTTTATTTATTTAGCTTTTAAGTGGCTTTGTTGAACTAACTGTCATTAACTGAAGTACTGAGTCTCTCAAATCTGTACTGTCTGTCTTTGTGTGCTTTGTATCGATATTAAGAGTTTGGCACTTTTCAACTGATATAGATTTGTATCAGTTTTTCCTAGGTAATGTTGTTACACATCCGTCTAAGGAGAAGTCGGAAGGAGCAAGGAGGGTTGATGTGGAGCACCTGCAAACAGGTTTATCCCTGCCACATTAGGTATGTACATTTCTTAGGTCAAGACCTGTTATTCGGTGGTTGTATTATTCGTTCAAAGTTGCTATATAACTTAGGACGTTAGTTTTCCTGTTATCAGGCCTTTAAAAGCTGCCTTTATGGCTTATTGAGTTTTCTCATTGTTGAAGGCCTAACATTTTTGGTTTTATTTTCGTCGTTTGAAATCTGGTGGATACTTGACTGATTAGCTCTCATTCAAAATCATTTTATTTTTTTCTTTACGAAATGAATACAGAATGTGGCGGGGTTAAACTAATTTGATGCGTCACCCCTCGCCTATCATGGGACATTGATTTCACAGTACAACATAATAACAAATTATAAAAATCAGTACGAAAAACACACAATGCAAACATTTACTTTACTACTTGAACAAAATAGAAACATAGCAACATAAGCAAATAGTTTGAAAGCCTATTATTTTTAATATTTTGATGACGGTTTCTGTTGCTTGCTTTTGATTGTTTTTTGTTAGTTTATAGTATTTTTTTCTTTTAATTTGAATTTGTTTTTTTGCTGTCGAGATATTATGCACATTTTAATTATTAGTTGACTACGATCCAAACGCTTAAAAGCACTATAAATCACACTCAAGAAAATTAACTCAAATTCTTTAAATAAAAAGAAGATGCGGTGTGCATATATGATTGCAAATGAAACAACTCTTGATATTTGACAAAATGACATATCATTAACAATTATAATGACCATACTGCCTTGACCAATTAGCAAAGCCCATACCACATAGTCAGTTATAAAAGGTCCCAAAATGACAAATGTAACACAATTCAAACGAGACAACTAACTTCTGTTCATAATAATGAAATTATAACAAATATGTAATAACACAGCTATTAACGACAACTACTGAATTACATGTTTTCTGACCTTAAACAAGGACATACAAAATGTGGCGGGGTTAAACCATTTTGAATGCGTCAACCCTCCCCTAACATGGGACATTAATTTAACAGTACAACATAATAACAAACAATACAAACCTGTTGAATAAGGCTTAACTCATCAGACGGATACGAAGAGAAATACATCTAATAAAAAGCACAAAGTGTACGTGGATCGGTACTTGTACACCCCAACAACAAAAAGAACTGTACAACATAATACCAAATTATAAAAATCAGTACGAAAGACAAACAATGCAAAGATTACTTTACTACTTGCACAAAAAAGAAACATAGCAAATAATTCGACAGCCTATTATTTAAAATATTTTGATGACGGTTTATGTTGTATATGACGTATTCAGACATATGTACCAACTGCTCATGTTTGTAAACTAGTCATCATGATTGACGTAAAATCAAGAAATCATGAATGGTTGATGATTCATTAACGCAAAGATACAAATAAAGATAGTTATATAAATTTGAAACTTATGGAATAAGTTATTATACATGCTATTCCAATCAAAATTTGTCTCCTGTGATAGCATGTCTTTTGTAATTTTCTTGAATCAGCTCATTGTTTTCTTTTGTATATTACAAGCCAGTGATTTATGAGACTATCCATTGAAATATTTAAGTATTTGGAAGTATTTTTCGACAAGCTAGGTGGAAATATAATCGTGTTTTGATAATGGCTTGAGACGATGTTACTATAATGATGCATATCGATATCACAAAGATTTATCGCTTGATACGGATTTTCATAACCGTCACCAGATTGTTTTATAGAAGAGCTGTCATCAGAGCTAACAACATGAACAACATCGGCTCTTAATATATTATCGTTACTTTCGATACTGCTTGAGGCATTATCATTATTCAATCCTGCATTGTTGGCTGTATGATCAAAAATAGCATTGTTGTAATTCAAAGTTCCTATTTCATCATAGTTATTATCTGGATTCATGTTAACAATCTCGCTCATGTTTTTTCCACGCTCACTGTAGCAGAAAATATGTAAGCATCCACATAATAAAGCTATTCCTGCAGCTATACTGCCCATTAATATCCAACAATACCCATATACATATGTAGATTTAAAGTCGTCGTCTGAAAATGAAATGAAATACAAATGATGAAATCAATTATTTATTCGTATTTAGACAATAATTAAGTATTTTTGTTATCAAATGACATTATGCTGCAATTTTGTTTGAATCAGGCTAAAATGCTTCAAGATTTTTGTTCGCAATAACACAAATCATAATGTGTGCCTTTATTCACATTGCAAACTCTTACTTTATAGAACACGTTGCATAACTATGCTTATAACATAATAATATGATTTAGATTCGGGTGATTGTAAGTAGAGGACGACACCAAAGTCTATTTTCCAGTCTTGGAATAGCCTACCGCAGGTTACAACAATATGCATTATGGTGGTATTAATATTTTTCGTTAGTTTTAATTTGAATGTAAGATGTTTTATAAAAAAAATCAACTACTTATCAAAACAAAAGGATACATATATCAAGAAGAAATTGAAAACACATCAATAGAGACAAACATGAAAACTAGGTTGAAAAAAGTAACAAATGTGACGAAAATTGAAAAAAGTTCTCAAAACCTTTCCTCAAAAACTACATGAATTAATAACTGATATTTTAAATGGAAACACGTCTGATTGGTCAATTTGAAGTTGATATGGTCATAATCACAAATAACTACATTACATGTATAATTCATTATAATACGTTATAATGATTGACCAACAGAATCTCCCGTCATTTTGAAATAAGATTAATTCCAAAATGAATTGTAACATTCATGATGACTGGAAATTTGTGCACAGGTAAATAAAAGAAAAAGACTCGAAAGAAATCGTGTTTTCATGATCCTAGCAAATAAGAAATGTAACTATAAGTATTGAATGATTCTTTTAGTAATTTTATAGGGTTGTAAAAGTGTTGACCGTGCGTACATTTTTAGAATGAAGTGCTTCCGCGATTCATACAAAATGTTCTTCGGTCAACGCTTTTACACCCCAAATAAATTTACAAAAAGAAGCATTCAATTCTTAAAATAACTGCGAACACCATTTTTTTTTTAATTTTAAGGTTTATTTATCCCATAAATAGATTGCTTTATTATGTTTATCAATATATGGCAGAACCTTTCGAATTTTGGGGTCGAAATGCTCAACAACTTCGTATTTCACTTGGCGTTTCTAACCTTTTTAAATTGCGCGTCACTTATAATCTTTGAAAGACGAAACGGATGTCTGGTATTCAACATGTTAATCCTCGTTTTTAAGATTATTTTGCTTATTACTTCTTGTAACATTTATATTTTATTTTACCTTGTATTTGCATTGTTATTTCCTTTAACATATTATTTGTTTTGAAATCTGATTTTATTCTTAACGTTTATCTAATCTATTAAAGATAGCAAAGCGCACAAATTTGAAAAAAATGAGAAAAAGTAATAAAGAAACTGTATCTTAGTGCGATAAAAGGATGTCTGTCTTTTTTTTTTGCTAAATTTACGCCATGAAACTCACCTGATACATTGTCAATTAAATTGGTTGTCGTGTTGTTCACTGAAATAAGATTTCAAGAATATATTAGAGTAAAATAACGAAAAATGATCGAATACTATTTAAAACAAAAATTTCCGTTATATCATATGTATCATATGTATATAGATAATAATGTACATTTGATTGCAATAAAGAAAATATATTGGAAGGATATAAGTATATTATTTAATTATTATCAATGTTATTAAGTGTGAGAATGTTACATGTACCCTTAAAACTTACCTAAAGAAGTGACAACTAGTGTGATTGTTGAAGGTGTATCTGTAATAAGATTTAAAACAAATAAGAAAGCATAGTAACGAGAAACGATAAGAACGCAGACAGAACAATGGACGAACACGAGTCAACATAACAAAGATGCCAGTTAATTAAGATATATGTATGGCATTTTATTATTATTATCATTGATATAGCTATCTTTGATATTTTAGATTGAAAACTCACCCAAAGAAGAGTCAACTGATGGGCTGGTTGTTCTGCTATCTGTAAAACAATTTCAAAAATTAGAAAAGCAACATAACGAGTATCAATACCATGAGACATTGATTCATTATGCACGTTGTAGTTCGTCTCATTTTGATAGCACTTTAATAAATGGTATCCTACATAAGAGATATTTTCAAATGTTGTGTCAAATGTTTCTGCAAAAGCGCCTACAATTATCTTATTTGAGATGTTGTTATTCATATGTAGAAAGGTGCAACAGCATCTGTATCAAATATTAATACACAAAAAACATGATCCCAGGTGATCCTGTCTTTCTAATAATAAAATCAAACATTTTAATTCTATCGAGCCTGCGACATATTTGTGGAATCGAAAAATAACGACGCAAAAGGTAAACACATGTGTTTCATTCATGTTCCCTATTCATCTGATAACTGCACTTTAGTCTTTTTTTTTTTTTTGCAGTTGGAATTTAGATACAGTCGGGATTACATTTTTGTCACCATTACAATTTTGTTAAATCTATTCAGATATTTTTAAAACCTTTGAACATTTTTTTTTATGGTTTTTAAAACAAAATCATTCTTCTTTTACTGCTAAATGGTGTAGGTTTTAACACTCAATATTACATACACTTATTGATACCGAGTCGCATGGTTCAGGAAAACCTTTTACGATATGATTAAAATTTATTTTTTTGAATAGTCATCATCATTTTTTTCTAAAGTAAGACTGCTATTAACAAGTGCATTTTCCCAAACAAATTGAAAACAATAGTGATCTCATAAGTTAAGTATGTTAATTTCAACCACAGTACACACGAATGAATTTATACATGTGCAGGTATCATTGTACTAGCCAGACATGCATGATTTAGGAAGAACCATCTAAGGTATATCAATAATCTGTAATAAACTAAACCTATAACATGCAATTGTGCCACATGAGCTTAAACCTAGTCCTTTAAAACAAATAGTTCAGGACATATCATAAAGCTTTTAATTCATTTACAAAAAACCTTTAACACTGAAAAAGTGTCCTTTGATTTGGAAACTGCAAAGTTTTCCTTGATTTACAAGACATGTTTCGCTTACAATCATGAAAATGATAGACCTCTTTCTCTTACATGCATATGTTGGAAAATTATGAACATGTGGGAACTTATGCCGTCGTGACACATGCAGACAACAATCACACGAAATAAACACGCATTAAAAACCATACATGACATCCGAAGTAATCTGTATACTCACTTGTAAGAAGAAGTTTGTAAACATGATTGTTTGTAATATGATTTTCAACGTATTGACATTTGTATGTTCCTTCATCATCAAAAATAAATTCTTTTATCATCAAATTACATGTTCTGTTTTTGTAACTTCCCACAACATTTATGTTTGATATGTTCAACTTTCTATTAACACGAAATCCTTATGTATATGGAATTAATTTTTCTTCATTAAATATGTTTGTCTTTGACGATGACCTATTTGGTCCAACCCAGTTTCCGTTTATTTGACTTATGCATGTACAGTTTAGACTAATTATATCACCACTCCTGACAAATACTTCTTGTTTGTTAGCTGTATAATATAAAAAAAATCCTTTCATTTATACAAAATTCCGACAATGGTTTGTGTACATATGACCGTATCAAGTTAGGAGCTTAGACACTGCTCACACACTTATGCTATAGACTGTTATGTGGGCCTCAGTTATCGATTTGGGTTTTTTGTTACAGCCTTTTATATTTTAACTACCCCCTTTTTTTATTTAGTAATGGTTTACGATAAAATTGAAATGCAAAAAAACGAATAAGAGACAATACAAAATCAAAGAGAAAAGAGAAACTGACAACTGTATGGCAAAGAACGAAAAGCAACAAACAGAGTTTGATTTACAATTATCTATCGATATAAATATCATTCCAGAATCAGAATGATGCCGAGCTCTTATGTTTAAAGAATTATTTTTCAATAGTATTTGACTTCCAATCATACCGTCATTTAAGTCAAAATGAGGAAAAAATAAAAACTAGAGAATAATTGAGTGTTTACTATATAGAATAGAAAAAATGGACAAAATATATTTATAGGAAAAAAAGTGTCTGAATTATTAAAACAAATACTCATGTTTAAGAAATGAACAACACCCCACCATTTGAATCAAGGTCATTTTCATATGGCTACATTTCTAGACAATTTTTAAGATAGTAAGAATTCGTTTTCACAATAGTTATATAGCTAAACATTCTCAACCAACATAATGCATTAATCAATATGCATTCGGTCCGATATTATCTAATGTACATGTATAAATTATTATAAGAAAATTTCCTGCTCATGGATATTTACTATCTGATATGATTTTAACATAACAACAGCTACTAATTTTACATATAACCACTAAAAATCTATTACCTATTACTTTCAAAGCTTCAATGAATACAATGATAAATTTCCTTCTGTCCCACATCTTTTTAACAAACAAAAATCAGTGTACATTTATTTCGTTAGAGTTCAAATAAATGGTACATATTGTATTTGAAGTCTTTCTTAAATCATCAGGTTTGAACTAGCTAAAAAATTATGAATATTAAAAGTTTCAATTTAAAATATTCTCGGGTTTTAAATTTTGTATGTATCGAAAGCATTTCTATTTCCCTTTTCCGTTATTCATCTCGGAAACAATAGAAAAAGGAAATGCGAAATGTTTTCCTAGGGTCATTAACTAATTGTATAATATTTTTAAATTGTATAGCTCTTATCGATTTCTCTTTGACTGTTTGATTAAACAACAACTTCCTGAGTTCTCCATAATGACAATTTTAAATTGAAATTGATTTATTTTAACATACCAAGTTTATCTTTACAAAAATGCTATACTGAACATAACACTAACTGTCACATTTCAGCATATCGCGTAATTTTGGTGCACTGTATGGGCTAAACAAACGATCCGAACAGCGTCAATTACTTGTACAGATCATGAACGTCGAACTGCGACCTTGTTTATATGAAAATTTAAAAACCGATACTTGAAATTTACAATGCATATTTCAACTTCAAACGTGATTCAACGGTACACTACGGATTTTTTTTAATACAACTGACCATTTATTGTTAGATAAGGATTTTCGATATCTTCAAAAGCTCGTTATCTATAATCAGTCTGCAAAATACGAACCTTTGATCGGAACTCTCGGTTTCAACACCTAGATGTCATTCATTTTGACAAATAAAGTGTAAAAGTATAGTTATCAGTGCTCGTTATTTATATAATATGTATAAGTTTATTTCTAACTACAGTGTTGATTCATATCAGATATACTAGACATCTACGCATGTTGAAAAAAACCACAAGACGTGTTTGGATAAATTTGTGTTCAAGGTAGATCTACAATATAATTAAAATTTTATTTACACTCGGTACAATGAAGAATTGAAATTTAAAAGAGATATGTTAATTTTTTCAAGAGTAATATAGACTCCCAAAAGACAACACAACATGCAGGAGGATACCATGTCTAAATTGGACCGGCTTTGTACTAGACCTTTATTTTCTAACGTGCTCGTTTAAAAGTGGTTGTCACCCTGAAAGGTAACAATCCCCTGATCTTTCCACAACCTTTCAGCATGATACAAAAAATGCGAGCTTAGCGGAAAAGCAACAAATACAAAGTGTTGCCATATCAGTTTTAAATGACTAGGATCAAGCTCATGCCATTCCGTACTCAAGACAGGCACACCACGTTTAGAACTTTGAAAATTGTGTCATTCTTCAGTTACAACAGTTATTATATTTATTTTAAGATGCTCACCTGTTATCTTAAGTGTAACGTAGGACTCCAATATCCCCTGTTCATTGCTTCTTTGGGAACATATGTAAATCCCGTCGTCGTTCAATGATACATTTTGTATTTGGAGATTATAGTCACCTTCGTTTATATTACCAACAATTGCAAGGTTTTGCTTATTAGGTAAATCTGGATTGATCTCATTACCATCTGCATACAAAATGACTGTATTTTTTTCATTGGACTTTACTTTGTCCCATGTCGACTTGCTGTTTGGAAACAGTTTGCATTTAATGGTTACATTAGCACCTTCTGATGCATATACATTTTGAGTGTATACAGCTATAAAAAATAAAAAGAATTGAGTTTAAAATAAGTGTTTCACTTCCATTATCATTTTTTTTTTAATTAACATAGTGGATAAAAAGTTGTATTTTTATGTTTTTTCAAATAAGACGTTATCCTCGAGGATAAATATTGGAAATTTACAATTAAGTAATAATTTCATTAAGATCAATACTTTGTAAAAGTACAATCAACTGATTTTATCGGTGGGGGGGGGGGGGGGGGGGGGGCAAACGGCAAACTAGGAATGAAATCATTTTATTTCATTTTATTTTCAAACGGCTACTACTGTATCAGTAAATACTAATAGGGTATATCTATATTTTCGTTGTAAAAAAACAATTAATCCGTGGCCAACTGAGAACCAAATATTTTTCAACCACTTTTCTTTTACATGTAGTATATTATTGAGAATTGTTTTTGTTCATATCAAAAACAGAAAATTCTCTTGAAATCGCAAATCTTTATTAATTGTGATCGATAATTTGCCTTTGTTATAGCACAACAATGCAAAACTGAATAACATAAATAGTAGTAATTTTGAAGTACCAGGTGCGAGTTTTGACAAATAATGTCTCCACAGTGATGCTCGAGGCAACAATGTTTCGAAATACTCAAATATTAATACTGAATGATAATCATGATAATGCATGTTATTTTACTAAAATCAAATGTTTGTTTTATATTACCATTCATTTCATTGGATACATGGCATTTGTTAATTTTCACTAAACCTTCCATACTCCCCGCACCATAGCAAGTTACATGTGATAACATTAGCAACAGGTGCCAATGCAAAACGCTGAGCCCGACGCTTGCCGATCAGGAACAAAAATACCCAATGCAGACGATGTTTAACAATTCTTATTTCTACATCATCTCCGTCGTTTTGTTGTTATTAGTTATCTTTTAGTTATGACTTAATTTTCTGTTTACAATTTTCTTTCGTATTACATAGTGAACATTTGAAACATGAAGTATTCACGACTTCGTCTTGGGTGATAACTTTCCCCCTGTTTGTATATACCTTAACACCACAAACCAATTCAAGGGCTGTATGTTTATAATATGGATATGTAAAAAAGTAATTAATAATTTTTGCAATGCTAATACGAACACAACCATTCAACCACCCTACATGCAGTTATAATACGTCTGAATTACTATTCAGAATTCCCAAATTGGAAGTGTGGTCAACATATGTAGCAGAGTTCACCGTGACCATTTTTCTACAAATAAGATAAGTTGATAACCTTTAAAAGACTTTTGTTTAGTGTTGACATGATAACATCGATGCTCTCTGTGAAATGTCATTAACGACGCTACAGAAAGCAGACTGTATTATCTTTTTTATTTAATTTAACAAATAACGTAGTTATGTAGGATTTAAGAATCCAAATATTGATGCACTGATAATTGCGATTAAACATTCAGCTCTTGTAAATATTGATCTTAAATACATATCTAGTTGTCAATTTAATTTGACGTTAATGCATGTTTATGTTATAGCGAAATAGTTTTCACTCTACAGCTCGATTTTGTTCTGAATAAATATTCATGCGTAACACCATCATAACCATGTCACAGTGTCTATATGTTGTGGATTTTAGAGACGCATTATTTTCAATTCATTTAATTATTAAATGAATACTTTTTTACAAAATCCAAGAAAAACAAATAAGATTTTTGATAATGCATTTTATCTCAGTTACTAAAACTTTTTTTTTAACTCTTATCCAACTTATTATTAAACGTAGTTTTTGTTTCATTTTGATCAATATTCAGAGCATATAGTTTCTCGCTAAACGATGAACAAATGATCAATATAAACATGAAATGCGTGTGCATTAGCTAACTCGAACTTGGTGCCAAGGATATAGCAGATACATGTACAGTTAAGTCTGCTTCATAGTTTGACTTATATCTAGAGAAACTGAAAATGAAGATCGGTTTAAAAACGAAACTTTACAACAAAAAATAGATGATTGTAGCTTCCAAATTGCAAAATTTCTCTTTCTATGTAGCACTATTCAAGTAGTGCCTTCATACAGAGTTTATATCTCCAGATTAATACGATATTTCAGGGCTTGTAATTCATGTCGTGTTTTCCTTGAGTTGCGGCTAACAAAAAAGCTATTAATGACGTCGAAATCATCAATTCTTAAATTTTACGAACACAATCAAGATTTAGTTGACCGTTTTGAAATATTTGTTTTATTCCACAGATATCGGATATGTTTCAAATGTCTTTTGTAAATTCCGTTCCATTATCCTCGAAAATTACCTACCAAATAAGACGTATAACCGGGTTTTTACTGACATGAGCAACACGACGGGTTCCACATGTGAAACAGGGACTATTTTAGATCATCCCCAACTTTTGGTGTTATTCGTGTTGATCAGCCTGCAGTTTTTAGTTTTCGATGTTGTGTTTTGTGGAATAATCTTCTTCTGTTGAACTTTTATTTTAGCCATTGCGTTGTTAGTTTATTGTGGGCTTCTGAGTTTGAATGCCCCCTTGCTTTATTTTGCCTTTCTTTAACACAAAAATATAACTTTTTCTCTTACTGTTGTTTATATTTGTTTACATCTAAATAAAATGTATTATTTGCACAACCTACCGTATAAATGAATAAATAAAACTTCTGTCAAATTTTAAAAGAAGAATCAAGGCAAAACAAGAAGAAGGCGTCAGTTACTATATTCCTTACAAGCACGATCTATCCTCATATATTGCATTGTTTCGCAATCTGTGACGGAAGCAATTAAGAAAGTAAGTATTTCTTGACTTTTGATTTCAAGTAATTACAGATTGTTTTCATTACTAGACAAGACAAACAACACAACATGACGATATACTTTTTAAAAGTGTCTTTGTTGGTCTTCCTTTCAATGTATTTGTAATTCACCTTATTGTAACATCAACACATACTTGAATGTGTAATCATGTACTTAAATTAAATAATGCATCTACTTACATAGAAAATGCCATAAAGGAATTAAAAATATACACATGCATAATATATGCATTTTTCTTATCTACAATGAAAAACAAATAGTCATTTGTGTATGATCTAACAAACAGTTACACTAAATATTAGATGCATCGTGAATATCTTTGTAATATTATCTTTCAAAATGTAGGTTTATTGATGAACATGATGAATGAGGGACGCATTAATGATAATGACAGTAAAATTTTATGACAATTTATCGAAAAAGAGATATTCATAAAGAAATACTACGTACCTTTTCATGAAATGTATTGACGGACTCATTTAATAACTTCCTGTCATTTCATTTTTTTTTTCAAGTAAAAGGAAGGTTTTAAGATCATAAAACGGATATAGCAATACAACTTTGATAGGGAAATCATAATATCATACGAAACAATGGTAGATAATTATGATAAAATGTAACCTGTGACCTTGTTTCTTTACAATGTAGTTTGAATTTCATTATTTAAAAGGAGTCAATTTTAGCGAATAACTTCTTTTGAGGGTCAGCACTGTAATCTTTCTTAAGTTTAAACAAGTTACAAATGTACCATACTTTTCTTATTCATATTTCTGTCAATAGTTTTTGCCCATTATTTTTCTAAAATTCCTGGACTGCATATAGTTAATTGTTATATGTATCTTGTAACGAATTAAAATGCATCCCACTTATCAGTATTTCGAAAAATCAGTCGAACACATACGACTACATATTCCTTCACTTTGTCATAGCAGCACATCCGTTTATCATATAAAGTCTATGTCATCGTCATATCCGAACAAACATATAAAACTGTAAGCTTATCATGAAGTGATGTCGGCGGAAGGAGATGGGTATCACACGTAGGCATGCATTTATAAATGTATTCATGACGGTGCAGGTGAACTTTGCTTTGCTGATTTGCAAACATTTGTTGAAAAACAGGTCCATAGAACATGATAAATAAGTTGTAAGACCTATTGCTTTAAAAAAAAAAGAAGATGTGGTATGATTGCAAATGAGACAACTCTCCACAAGAGACCAAAATGACACACAAATTAACAACTATAGGTCTCCGTACGGCCTTCAACAATGAGCAAAGCCCATACCGCATAGTCAACTATAAAAGGCCCCGAAATGACAATTGCAATGTAAAACAATTCAAACGAGAAAACTAACGGCCTTATTTATGTACAAAAAAGAACGAAAAACAAAAAGGTAACACATAAACAAACGACAACCACTGAATTACAGGCTCCTGACTTGGGACAGGCACATACATACATAATGTGGCGGGTTAAACATGTTAGCGGGATTCTAACCCTCCCCCTAACCTGGGACAGTGGTATAACAGTACAACATAAGAACGAACTATAAAAATCAGTTGAGAATGGCTTAACTCATCAGATGGACAAAAATACAAGTGGACGTGACCGGGTTAGTTATAAGTATAAGTTTAATTTGAAGATAACTTAAAATAACGTCATGTAGGCGGTAAATGCATCTCAAATTCGAAAGTCGAAATATCTTAATATTATAAAGTTAAAAACAACATAACGAGCCATGCTTATTACAAGTAAATTAGGCTGAATGGTTTCTAATGACATATCTCTTGTTCATTGAGATATAATAAACTCTCAAAAAGCATGTCTAACAGAAAATGACTGTACAGTATCTTTAGAATTGTTCCAAAATTGTTATTCCACGTTATATTTACATAAGTAATCTTTTGGATCACATTCTCATCATTCCGGAATGCAGAAACTAAGATATTAACGCTATCTTCAAATTGAACAAGATATCAACTGATGTGTACAATTTAGTACCACAAATGTAAGCCTTAAATGTATGAGTGAATACATATGCAATATTCGAAATTAATGAGTCGAAAACAAATGACCAAATAGGGCCAAAGGTTGCATTTCTGTAAATATATACCGTACAATTTCCAACAGGAACTCTCATTACAGCTAAAACTGTATCACTTTTATTTATAAGATTCGTGAAAAATTATATCCTTGAATGGATAGTAGAAATACACTTTTAATTTATTCCAAAGTCAAAACATACGGCTGTGCGGCATATTTTCAACATATATGCCCGGACGTTCTAAGAGTCTTAACTTATAATTAAATATGTACCTAGCTTCACCTCGGGTGACTCACAGAATTCAGAATTCCCTGCAACCATGTTTATATATACATTCCTAAATTATATTTCTATGAGATGAAACATATAGATTTGACTGGGAACCAGTACGTAAACAAAATTATATATCTCCCTAAAAGAGGTTTGGTTTGTGCAACAGCTGTATTTACAAAGTGCAACCAAAAGTTCTTCTGTAAAAACATTGTCATTGTAATTGAAGTGGTCGTAAAGTCTTCTCGAAGCATCGATCAGTTACTGCAGCGAATGATAATGCCCTGTAGAAATTATTTCCTGAAAGACATATATTTATTAACCATATTCCTAAACGGTCCTTAGACATTTTAAATCAAGAATCAACATCAGTCAAGAACGATAACTTGCAAATACTGTTCGATTTATTGTTCTTAATTATGACCTTTGCTTAAAATGACATCTTCAATGAAACTGTGCAATAAAAGTATGAAAGGATGGCTTTGGAATATTGATATGAAGATATGATGCATTTGGTACACAGAAATTATAAAAAACGGCATTTCGTAGCCGTAGAACTACGACCGATAATGTTATTACTACCATGGGTCAATATTTCTGTCGAAAGACTATACGTCTGGCCACCAGCATCCCCTAAAGAGACATTAAAATGCGGGTCTGGAGCATTGACATTTGTACTGTTAACCAATGTGATATGAAAGGAGTTATAGGCCTTGGCAAGTTTAAATAAAAGCGTTATTGACCTGAACTTCATAATGGCTCACGGTATGCATGTCCTTAGTTTGATGTTTATATGTGGTCTTGATACAAATAAATGGAAGTGCTTTGGGAAAACCAGGATTAGTTGTTAATGGATATTTTGGCAGGACATTTAAGTTACCGAAGGAGCTATTTTCTAGAAATTTTTATTGTTACACCCAATGTACATGTTAAGGTGGATTGACCTGCACTTGTAATATAAACATTTTTTTTTTTTTTATTGCATATTTCATTTCTCTCATTCATAAAATTGAACAAAATACCGTCTTATAACTTAGAAGCCTCAGTAGCCTGGTGGTTTAAGTAGTTCAACAAATGTATCACTAGTCTGCTAACCTGAATTTGTTACTTCGAACCCCTACTAGGTAGATGCACTCCAATCTTAATTAATAAAGATTGTCAGTTTTTATCCCGAAGGTTGGTGGTTCTCTCCAGAAGTTACGGCTCCTTCCATTAACAAAAACTAACCGCCACGAAATAGCCACTAATGTTCAAAGTGGCGTTAACCATTAATCAATCACTTTAACTTTTGATTATATTACTTAATTGAAATGGGATTACAAAATCTTGTAATACATTAACATTTTTGAATTTAAAACATTATTCATGTTATATTTATTATGATAAGTTATTTCAACACTTTCTTGTTCAGACACAAGATATACATCAAATCAAATGTTTTCTACAGTAAACTCAGTACAGATAAAAGATTTAAGTCCATGATGCTATTACTGTCTTAGTTCAGGTTACTGCATCTTCTTGTATACAACAAGCCATGGCTTTGTGTAACTATCGATTGCAAAAGTAATGTGTTTTGAGGATGTTGTCGCTGCGCTTGTCGGTGATATAATTGTGTTCTGATAAATAGTTGGGATGATGCTACTGTATTGATGCATTTCGATAACCGAAGGAAGTACCGCCTGATACTCATTTTCATAACCATCACCAGGTCGTCCTATAAAAGAGCTTTCATTAGAGCTTTCTCCATCAACACTTGACGACACAGTATTGCTCTCGTGATCATGAGAGATATTGTCATTGTTCTCTTGCTCAAAGTCAGTTATTGGATCAACAATCACATTATTATAATTTATTGTTCCTATTTCATCATATTGACCTTCTAGAGAGATTTCAAATGTCGCAGTAGATTTTCTTGTTCGTCTTAGACAACAGCAAATATGTGAGCAAATACAGCATATAAGCATTCCGCCGACAGTGCTTCCAATGATAACTGAGCAATAATCATATGCAACAAGCGTTTTTTGTTGACACTCTGCAAAAAAAGTTAAAGCTTTCAATAACATCATGTCTGATTCACCAGTATACTGAACTGTTGTTTATCAAGTTTTTATATTGGTTTAATTACTAGCGATTTTGCGGGTCTAACATTTCCTCAAAATACATTAGTTTTATTTGTATTACTGATTGAAGGAAGGTTATTTGTTGAAAGTTATTTACATTTTTGCAACAACAAAAATGTTAACCTGAATGAGACCATGGACAAATTGAAGCACAAGCTATACGCGATTAATAGAAATACAATGAAAAGGCACAATCCGCAGTTTAAATTCAAGTTTAAACATTTGAATACACAGTTTTGATTAGTATTGTAATAGTGGGATATATATTGGAATGTCTGATATCTGAAAAAGGTATCTACCACATTTATTTCATGAACATATTATCCTGAATAAAAGTTATCAAACTAATCTAAAACGAACCACTGTAAAATAAACAAAGTAATGAAATTACCAGTAATGAAACATTAATGTCAAACTTGTCAGTCATATGAACAATAAGAGATAACAATTGATATAGTCTTCAATACATGAATTTATGATGAATAAACGCATTTTATATAAACAGTCAACTTTTAAATAGATGTTTCTTAAAACAACAAATAGGAAAAAAGAACTAAATTGACACATTTGCATATGTCTATAGATCAAGCGCGTTTACCCCAAACGAATTTCGTATACAATGATAATTGTGTCGACCATATTTTAGTAAATCATTGCAATTGAGATCCCCAATGCTTGTTCTAAAATTTGATACCTCATATCTCTTATTTATATAATTACAAAAAAACCTAATATTATATACCAGTCAAATTTGATAAGTCGACGATAAGTAATCAAGTTATTGGCTACAAGACGAAAATGACGTTCGACAAACAAATCCACAAAACATAGACAATTAAATATGCAGCAGCATAGTACCAACAATAACCTCTTCAAATCCATATTAATGTTACTCCCTCGTATCTTGTGATCTCGAATTTTCCATGGAATTACATATAATCCCGTTCTTAACCTGACAATGAACTTGAACATCTTAAGAGTTTTCTACTATCGTCATCAGGAATCAGTTGATATGATTAATGAAAAAGCTTGGGATATTTTAAACTAATTGTCTAATATATGACATGTTTGATAAATAAATATATATATGTAAAAATGGTGTACATTTATAATACTATTATAAGGTTAAACTGCGTTCAAACAGACAAGCAGTATATTTCCGAATGTGTACTTACCAAATGTTCTTGATACTGTTATATTAGTTATATTGCTATCTCCAATTTTGTTTCTAGAAAACATGCGCACAAAATATTGTTTTGTTGATACAAGTTCATAGAAAGAGTAATGCATTTTATTTTCCGATCCATCTTCTACTGCATCTGTGGTTGTCCATATTTCTGTGTCATCAGCTCTATATTGTATGAAAAATTTCTGATTAAATCCGCCATTGAACTCAGACATCCATGATACTATCATGTGGTGTTCGTATTGAATCACTGTAAGATTGGTAGGGGTTTGTGGTAAATCTAGAAAACATAGTATAAAAAGGTGACGACATCAATCTAAACATCAAATATGTTATACTAATTAACTGTGTATGAGAAAACAAGTGTATTGCAGCCGAGGGCAAAGTTGTATCCGAGGGGACAATCATCTTACTATTCCACGAATATCTAGTCAGTAACTGTTTTGTTATACTGAAAAAGCCAACATAAACAATGATAAATAATCATGTTGGGATAAATCAACTATCGTAATATAAAAGAAGAAACACAACGGTACCATACTTTTTAACGTTTACTTTATATTCTGAATGCTTTGTCTACGTCATGCACTAACGTCAACCCTAGATACAATAGGTAAAACGCGACGTCGCCACTCCCGCGGTATAATCAACATCCTCCAATCCCGTAGCTGGATTTGAAATTCCACGAAATATAATTACGCTTGCGATCACATATTTTCATTTCGCTTTGGGATACGTTACAGGTGCATATTTAACATGTTTATGCAAACCTCGTCGGAACATTTTATGCCACATTTAGTAAATGCTAAAATTCTTCTTTAAGTTATTTGTTTATGCACGCAGTTTATATCACACTAAAGTATTACTATTTGTTAGTGAAAGTTAGATTCACGGTATACATATAAATAATCACTAACTTAAAGCCAAGAAAGGCTTACCTCCCGATCTTATGTTAACAATATATCTATTACAACCTTCAAAGTTGCAAGCCACTACTGTATAATTTCCAAAGTGCTCCCTTGTCGCCAAACCCATGTAAAAAACAACTTTAACTGTTGATACAGTTACATTGACGCCATGCAAAATATCATGAGTATCAACTCTTTCCTGTGTAATCTTTGGTTGTAAATACTTTTTATGATTTGATATATTCAGTGATATATTAGCAGATCTAGTGAACAAAAAGACTGTTATGTTAAGTCCACGTTCACATTGTCCATATTGTACCCTTTGGTTGGTTGAAACGAATATTGGTGGTACTAAATTATAATAAAATAAGAACATGATTATATATTTGGATAAGTTTATACGTATTACTGTAATATTGTGCTGTTAAAGGAAAATAATGGGTTTCACACTTTGTGGCGTTTATATTCAATGCATGTGACGTGCAGTTTAAACTTTGATGGTGGTGTCCTGATGTACCGTCGTTAGTTCATGGGAGATGTCCGCTGCTATTCTGTGGTTACATGTTGTAATGTAATATTATGTTTTATTGATGTTTGTCTCTTTTCTTAGTGTCCTTGTGTTTAAATTGTAACAGCTCGTTAAAAATACTGATTTGTTTAACCCATTTTTCTCAAGTTAACTGAATATTTCTGTGATTAGAAAATACTGCAGACGTTGTTTATATTTTGAGCAATGTATGTGTATTATAAAAGTCATTACAAGATATGGCAACGGAATTAAAAAAGATTTGGTGAGACTTCGGCAATTGATAATTTGCCTAACGAATTTATAATGAAAAAAATCGCTGTTTCGTACCAGATTGAAGAGTAGTATTACTATAAATTGGCTATACTTTCGTTTTTCTTTCTCATATCACATCCCATTTAATAACATTCGGGGAATATCTTTTCATGCGAAAAATCTTATATAGACAACATCAATAAGACCCTGTTCACACTATGACACTAAGATCGATTTTAACTAGATCGGTTCACTTGAAATCAATTTAAGCCCAATATGAACGTTTTGAATCGATCTTTAATCGGTATAAACTAAGACACGAAAATAAGTAGTTTAGTTTTAATCGAGTTAAAATTAACCGATCATTCTTTAAATGCTAAAGGCTGAAATTAACGAAATCTTTACAAACAGCAGTGAACGTGTTATTAAGTGACACAAATACTTATCCTTTGTTTTGTACTTGTAAACGTGTGTATCAACAAATTAGATTGATTAAATAACTATATTTATACACAGTGTTTACATGGGTAATTATGTTAGATGGATTTTTTTTACTTGAGGTGTGAATTCAGTGGATAAGATTAGACACAAGGAGATCGTTAGTACTAAAAACAAGATTGACACTTACTGGTTTTATTTCGGTCGATTCAAATTGAGATCGAGTGAAAGAATGCTACTTGGAAAGGGTCTTAGCAAACAGTATACAATTGTCTTGTTTTTTTAACTATAGAGATTAAGTCTTCTGGTCTATTCATAATTTTTCTTGGAAATCAATTTTTATTTCCTCAAATAAAAAGAAAAAACATATAGACATATTTAACAGATATTCATAGTTTATTGTGAGACATAATCCTATCTTACCGAAAGAGACTTTAAGATCGATGCTTTACCATATCATGTTGTTTTTTGTTTTTTTTTATTTTTTATTTTTGCCATAATATTCATATTTAACGTTAACGATACCGTTTTACATGTTTGCATAATTATTATACCTGAGGATTGAATTAAAACTGCTCCTTCTTTGTATACATTTCTATAAGTATCAACTATACCATTTGACACTCTACATATATAAAAGCCGTCATTTTCATGAGATCGGGTTTTGTTTGGTGCACCAATAATGAGATTTCCTTCTGGGCCCCGGGGTTCCTTTAAGTTTTCGAATTGTTTCATTGTATTCCGATCGATGATACCATTTTTCAAATATATAAAGTTTCGGATTACCCTTTGGATTACAGTGCAGAATTATATTTGTCCCTGAAAATTGTTGCGATACGATGACGGATGGAGGATCTGGAAAAAAACATCTGTTAGATATGCTAAAGTTGTTACAGTTCATTTAAAGCTCCACCAAAATTCAATTCATATGAATAAGGAGATGTTGATATAGGTATTCAATAGACAACTCGCCATCCAAATCACAATGTGTAAAAAGTATAGTATTATTAACCAAAGTGCTTCTTTCAATGCGCAGCTTTTTTTTGGTGGGGTTTGTGTTGCTTAGTCTTTAATTTTTTATGGTGTGTCTTCTGTACTATATTTGTCTGTTTGTCTTTTAATTTTTAGCCATTGCGTTGTCAGTTTATTTTCAATCTATGAGTTTGACTGTCCCTCCGGTATCTTTCGTCTCTCTTTTTATTCATATCTAACAACGATTTCATTGTAATAGGCAAACAACCCATAATATAAAAATATAAAGGCATACACCACCAGTACGTGCACACATTCTACTACATTCAATCAGCACGGGCAAAAACCCTGCATTCAATATAGATAATAAGATGTGATATGAGTGTCAATGAGATGACTTTGAATGTATTTTTATTTCATACATTTATGATACTAGTACATAAAAGTTAGAAGATAACAAAGATAAAAGTTTTCGAAAAATAAAATACACAAAATGCTCTATCATTATAATACTTACAGAGGACGTTTATTTCTATGGACGTATTTGATGTTCCTATTGAATTTGAAGCAAAACATGTGTATCTTCCTGTGTTGGTACGGTGAATCAGCTTGAATTTCAAACACGATTCAGTATTATTAACAACTATAGGTGTAACATTTCCAGTCCAGTATAAATGAGATATAGGTGGGTTGCTGTGTCCGTGACAACAAACTTCTAACGAAGTATTTTCGATAACTTCTTGGTGTGCAAGATAATCATCAAACAGTATTGGTTTGTCTGCAAAACATATTATTTCATTTCAGTACTATAACGATTATGTGCCTTTCCCAGTCACAGAAATGTTGATTATTTCCATTAAATTTATAAGCATTTGAATATATATATATATATATATATATATATATATATATATAACTGTTTATAGAAAATATGTATCGAAACAACATGACAAATAGGTCAAATTGATATGGCGTTGGTACTTATTTAAATGATTAAAAAATCGAAAACTCTACGTTTCTTTGTATTTCTAAGTTATTCAAACTGAAAGACTCGCATACATCAAATACATATTATTTCAAAACAATTTCGAAAAAGAACATTCACGTCATCGCTGACAATGGTGTACGATTGAACTGTAAACTATTTTATACGGAACAGCAAGGAAGAAGTTACAAAAATAAATACCTACGATTAAAGATGCGTACTTAACATGATATGAAAAAAATTGCGTATATTTCGAGAACTGCTACAACACTTTGATCTTTTTAGGTTGCACTTTGTAAATACGGATGTCCCGCAAACCAAGCCTCATTTGGGGTGATATATTATATTCATAAATCATTTGTTTTGTTGACGTACTGGTTCCCAGATGAATGTATAATCTCTATGTTTCATCTCATAGAGACACAACCATGATAACTTGTGAATGTTACCAATATAAATACACATGAAAAGCGGTAAATTTAAAATCTGAGGAAAACCCAAAATGAAGAAAGGAGTATTGCAGACGTTAAATATAATTTTAAAATCCTAGAAGTTCAGGGAATATAAATTTTGAAAATATGCAACACAGGCTTATGTTTGACCTTATTTTGTTACAAGGCTTCATTTGTTCATTCGTAAAGTTTCTGTTTGCGTTTAGCAACGGTTAAGCAGTTGTGTTATATTAAGCATGTTTCTCCGAGTAGATACGACATGCAAGGATTTTAATGTTTTATTACGATCTCCTGAAAGTAAGTTACATATATATTCAACACAATAACTTAATTCTTGCTTCTCACAAAAATTATAAACATAGAAATATTCTTAATATCCTTTTTACTATATATATAGCATGTTTAACTCAACTTCGTTCTTTCATCTTTGAATTTCCACAAAAGTGTGTTAACAATGTAATTTACAGAAATGACACTCGAACGACAAACATAAGTTGATATATGATAGATAACCTACATGTTAATACATTAAAAAAAAGTACGCAAACATATTTTTGTACTTACACTGGATATCTAATGTTACTTCATCCGTCAAAGGCATTTCTATCATCTCACGGAAGGCAAAACATTTAAATAATTTCATGTTGTCTCTTTTGGTTGGGGTAAACGAGTATACCAGTGTACTACTTCCACCCATTGCTACATCTGAACCATTTAGGGTCAAAAGAAGAGTTCCCTCAGGTCTACCGCTTTTAACAGTGCAAACTATGTCAAGTGGTTGTCCATCTGTTCCGCTTATTATTTTTTTGTCCTTTGTTTCCAATGTATTCAGAAATGTCAGGTTGGTTGGAGGACCTTTAAAATTATGTTTTGACACGTAAATAAACAAATAAATTTAAAAAACATGAAAAGCTGTTTCTCTATCCATTGTTTCTGGAAATGTTAGCAGTCACTGGGAAAGTTTCCTATCTTTAGTAGTCTTTAAAACAATACTATTCTCCGTTTATTTGACTGACAATAATATATTGTTGTTGACGCACATTCAAACTTTCAAAACAAATAATGTGATGTTTTTTTAATATGTCGTTACAATCAAGGGGCTTTGTTAATAGCCATTATCAACCTTGTTGATTCATGCTGTGCTGGAAATCGTATCATAACTATGGTTGTTACATTTGAAGAAAGAGTGTGTGCTCTCTTTGTATCAGTTCTTGATTTTGTACATTTATAAATACCTTACACTTTATTGCTAGAGAAATGAAAGAAAATATTTTTGTCTGAATGGTTCATTTACAAAAAAAATATAAATCCTTTTCATCGGAAAAATGTCATGAAACAAGAGAAAAAACATAAACTATCCGTTCATGTAATTACACTAACAATTGGAACGTTTTATACAATTGCATTTAGATTACATTGTGCATCTTCATCAATTAAAAAATATACCATGGGCTGTGGTTATATTTTTACGTATATATAATGAATATACCACGTTATTGTCTTTAATACAATAGGATACAAATCTTGCAAATCTTTGCTGATATTATTTTTGTTGACGGTATATAGAAATGTGTCACAAATTAAATTAACTTGACACCCCTAAGTGTGTTTGACGCCAAAAAAACTTAATATATATATTTGAATAGCATAATAGTAAATTAATGATGTCAGATCAAGTATAAAATATTTTTGGCAAGGCAATTAGTTAAAAAATGTCTCGACTGTACGGTCATATATATTTTAATAATAGTTTCTTTCACATTCAACCAAAATCATTAAGTGTCAAATAATTGACCTCTTTATCTTTGATTTGTTATATTATAACTTATGATATAATGAGTTGAGACTTATCAATAGTAAGTTGAGGGATATTTATACATATATGAAACAGTGGGTGTATTTCAGATATTTTTTCGAGACTTTAGTGTGTAATATTTTCATTTGAAGTTCGCCCAGACAGTCCATCATCATGATTATATCATACATTTTGTTTCGTTTCATGAAACACTTATACTTTAACTTACTTTTTAAATATAGTGTGAATTTATTTAAATACAACACTCCTGATTTCCATAACTCGCATGTGTAGTTTCCAGTATCTACATCTGAGACATTTCTTATAACCAAGTTGCATACACTTTTACTATAATCTCCAATGATATCAATATTCAAGTCTTTAAGATTTTTGGTGAGTATCAGGCCTTGTGCGTAAAGATCTGTTCCTTGATCCTTTCTCGTTCTTCTAATTGTCGATCTTTGTGGACCGTACCATGAAGTTACGGTTTGACGGGAGCAAGTGCAATTGAGAATAACGGTTGCATCTAATTCAACAAATATGCTAGTGTGGGTCTTTACGTAAGGTGATTTACCTTGATAAGAATACAATTATGATGATTAATGTATTCAAAATATATTTCCACGTTTTCCCTTTATATTTGAAAAATAAATGTTTTTATAGCTTAAAATAGATTACATTTTTGAAATAATAAATAACAGGCCGTGAATTCGTGTGTTAAAGAAGGGTCAGTTGCATAATATGAATATATTTTTTCCATTGATCTTGCTAACATTCAAACGGTTATATCATATGAATATAGACTTTTTGCGCTGATGCTGCGTGAAGAAATCGTCAATCAATCAAGCATTCAATAAAAAGGTTATACAGATTCTAATAATTGCTTCACGTTTCTAAAAGACTTATCAACTGTAATATTTATGTTGTTTCACATTGCTATTTCAAATATGTCTGCTAACTGAATGCTAGTATATTACCTGAGGAAAAACAATAAGACAGAATTGTCACTAAAATCGTCAGCGAAATGACTAACATTTTTTTACCTATATATAAAATAAACATAATTAATTGAATTTAACATGAAGTTACAGTATCTGTTTCAAAGTTTGTTGTCTATTGAGCGACAAAGATAATAAATTAACATACTGTTAATTCAAACATTATTGCAAGGTTTCATAAATACGAATAATTTGACTTGTTTGGTTCTGCATAAGAAAACGTCTGTATCAAGTCAGGAATATTATTAGTACAGTTATTATTCATTCGTTTGATGTGTTTGTGCTATTGATTTTTCCATTTGATTAGGGACTTTCCTTTTTGAATTTTCCTTAGAGTTCGGTATGTTAGATATGTTAGTGTTTGCAATAGTGCTACCACGTGTTCTGACACCTGAAACATATATTTGTATCCAGATTTTTATAAATTCGCATTTATTAATATAGCATGTTTGTCTATTCTTAAGAGCTGAGGCGGAAGATACCAAATTCATAAGTGGAAAATAAACTGACAACGCCAAGACAAAACAAAATAAAGTAGTGACAAAAGACAAGCAACAGTATTCAAAACACAACATACTTATAACAAATTAGGCAACACGAAAGCCACCACTAACTAGGGACAATCTCATGTGCTTCGGAAGGGTAAGCAGATCCTGCTTCATGGAAGAGGGACGAAAGATACCAGAGGGACAGTCAAATCCATAAATCGAAAATAAACTAACAACGCCATGGCTAAAAATGAAAAAAGACAAACAGACAAACTATAGTACACATGACACAACATAGAAAACTAAAGAATAAGCAACACGAACCCTACCAAAAACTAGGGGTGATCTCAGGTGCTCCGGAAGGGTAAGCAGATCCTGCTCATCGTGTGGCACCCGTCATGTAACAAATCCGGTTAATAATCTAATTCGGTAGGTCACATTCATGAAAGGGAAGGGGATTGTAGTTACGACATAAGGGACATATCCGATATAATCTGTGAAACGGTTATTCCAAAATGGCCAACCAACTCGTGATGGCGTCCGTAAAATTTACGAAGGAATGATTTCAACTTCACCATTTGTAACTCTTGGTTTAATAGCTTCCTTGTGAGCAGCAACCCTCTACCAAGACATTGATGATAGAAAATACATGCACAGGAATATCGTATCAATTGTGAGATATATACCCCGTATGCAGGTGCTGCTGGAATGTTGCTACTTAGAAATGGAAAGTTCACAATTTGAAAGCTGGAACTTGTCGTGTTGCTCAAGTTGATACAAATCCGGTGACAATTCTAACTAGTAAGGTCATATTCGGGGAAAAAAGAGATAATACCGGTTCTAATAATTGAAACATATCCATCGTCATTTGTAAACATATTTTTCGTAACGGTTTTCCAACCCGTAATGGCGTCCGCTAATTACAAAAATAAACGTACGTTATAATTTTAGAATTAAGATTAGTACATTAATTATCTGAACTGTACAATGATTTTCTTGTTAGAGGTTAGTTAGTTCTAAAATATAAATAGAATGTTGAAATTAATTTATATAAACTGTTTACGACGTCATCCAGTGTTGATAACTGCTAGGTAGACCGTTAAGTTACTTTTCGATTTTCGGTTTATCATAATACGAAGTGAGCAAAACGTGCTAGGTGTACACTTTCAAAAATATAAATGACCATTGAAAATCTGAGTTACAGTTGTGAAGATGGTAACAAGATAAAGCCTTAATGATCTACCACTAGTACTGGTCGGAGAATAGCTAAAAATCTTTCATACACTTTAAATATATGCAGACGACAGAAATAAGTAATTCCGTTTACCTTCTTTTGTTTAAATTACTGTATTTTATAACAAAAGAAAAATAAGTAAACCTAACCTTCTATTGAGTTTTATTCATAACATGAATTTTTTTGACATGAACAAGTCAAAAGTATGGTCCGAGTTTTGTAATAATTTGTAACAGTCTTTTCGAACACAACTTTTGTTTTTCTTCGGTTTTCTTCGGGTCTACTTTTTTAATATATTTAAAGGATAGCATGAATTTTATCAGATTGTGTATGTAAATACTTACAGAACTCAACATTAGAATGTTCAGTAATATTGACAACACATAAGCTGTATTTGTCAAAACTTTTAGGAATTGATGGTTCTCAATGCTCTTCATATTCATATTTTATTTGTTGTTTTAACCTTTTTTTGTAGACGAAAAGCGTTTCTGGCACAATTACAAAATTACAATCCTGTTATGTACATGATGTATGTTGAGTTAATTGTACTTCCTTAGTGGTAATTTTAGTGATCGGCTTTTAATGGATTTAATGTCCCTCGATCGGCGGATTTCTGTTTACGGTTGTGTTATTCTTTTGAATTGTGCGTCTTCTTTTCGTTTTTTTATGTTTGGTCTTGACGTAGTCAGTTTTTTTATTGGCATGATTTTCTTGTTGGCCAGGCTGTATTTTCTCTCCTTTTTATTGGCTAATGAATAGACTGATAATATCTACTTACCAAAATGAACAGCCATTATTGTAGTTGTGTCCGTGATGATGTCAAAACATACCGAAACAGACACAACATGGACAATGAACATGAAGTTTTATTTAAAAAACATTTTACCAGCACCCTAGCCGAAAACAAAAACAATAAGCATGATAACAAAACTGTATTCGAGATAGCCGGCACTTGTATTTGATAATTTATGACCCCCTTTATGTATTGGAGGATTCAATATTAAAAGTAAGCCATTATTTTACCATTATTTTATTGTTAACACACAATAACTGCTATTTGATAGTTTAAAACATATTTTGATTAATCTAAAATCAAATGGACAAACATGTATCAAAGCAGACAGTTTCCTCATGTGCGGTAGTGTTGGGAAACATTACTATATATGAATTCAATCTCATGTCATGCATCGTCGTTCAGGGCTTGTCCTTTTTCTCCTTTGTGTTCCTTTATTTGTATACATATTTTGGTGGGTTAGTGTTCATCCTATAAAATGTTTGGTAATACTTGATCATGATGCTAATTTCGTATTGTTTTGCTTCATTGCCATGAGACAATTTGTTTTCTTTTGTTTCAACTATCATATCAATTGACGATCAGTTCATAGCATTTGAATTTTATTTTAACCTCTCGCATCTCTTACGGGATATTCCTCAAACTATTACAACTTAGAAATACATGTATATTTTTATATCTACAAATAATCCATTTGTTTCCAACTCGATTGAAAAAGAGAAATTTCCATTACCAACTAGATGAGAAGTTGCAATTTTAAGATAAGTTGAATAATGATTATATGTAAATTCCAGTATAAAGAAATCTAAAACGTTCTTACCTAAATTAATACCCAAACGTTATAATTTATGTCGCAATATAGTATCCTTGACTTATTTTCAACATTTCCTTGTTTTATTGTCAATTGGTCAACATATTTTGCATAATGTTCCGAAGCAACACCTGCTATGATTATAATGCGTAATAGTATTCGATTGTAGTTAATTTTACATAATGTATCCATGACATAGATTTTGAAATATAAACAATAGAAGGAAGTTGATTTGCAACAGAAATCCCATTATTAATATACAACCGTATTCAAATTAACATAGAATGTTAGTGAACAAATTATTCATTACATGTATCTGGGATTGTTCTTGTGTTTTTTTATAATACATGCATATCTTAAATATATTCTATCAGTTAAAATGTTAACAGATATATATAAAAAGGGGGAAAAAACACCAAAATACTGAATTCCAAAGCAAATTCAAGAAGGGGAAATCCATAAAAACTACTAAAATCATACGCTATCAATTAACGAAACAAGTGTAAAACAACTCCAATATATCTTGGTGTAAGACATTTTCTTATGGACATTATGGTTTAGACTTGGATTTATAGCTACACATGATGTAGCTAAAATCCAACTTGTTCGACAGTTATTTTATCTACAACACTTTTTTTCTAGTCCAACTTCTTATTTTGCATTTAGTATTTTAATACTTTATAGTATTCAAATAGATATATGTTAAAACATGTGTTCCCACAGGAACTGGAGTTTTATTCATCACCCAATGGTCATGTTCAAATAAAATTTTACCTTTTGAAGAGTTTTAACCTGCACGAAAATGTATGGCTACTCTAGCATTTAAAACATGAACCAAGAACAAGACATGTATTTGTTTTCTTCCAAAATTGGCATCATTAACTTCAGTTCATTGTTTTGTCGTGTATATAACAAGCCAAGGTTGCCTGAGGCTATTCATAGCAATGCTAAAGTGTTTTGGGGTGTTTGTCACCAATTCGAATGATAATATCATCGTGTTCTGATAATTGTCATTGATGATACTACGATAATGATGCATTTCGATATCGCAATGGTTTATACAGTAACTTGATAAGAGTTTTCATAACTGTCACCAAACTGTTTTGTTGATGAGCTATCATCGGAGCTAACGATATCGGCTCTTGGTATTATATCGTTTGATTCGATAATACTCGATACGCTTTTAATATTCACTTCCGCAGCATTGGATATCCAATCAAATATATCAGTGTTATAATTCAAAGTTCTTATTTCATTTTCGTAGTTGTGTTTTTTTGAGGTTTGAAGCACTGCGTTTAATCATTAATTTAGTAGTTGTATTGGTGTTTTTGATAACAAACAATGTTAAGACGTTTTGATAAGTATGTTGTCAACATAAAGGGTATGACTTTTTAAAAGGACATAGATTTGTGACGTATATGACGCAATACATAATAGGACAAATATGTGAGGATGAACAAATGTGTAACTATTCAAACTATATTAATAGCTACATCAGTTGGAAAGCAAGTCCTTGGAAACATCTGTTGTCGTCAAGCTCTATCAGCAACAATAGCAGGGGGAATTGATTATGTGGCGCTTCAGTCGTCCGTGACGTCAAAAAGTCCAGCTAATCAATCGGCTAAAAGATTGACGTTTAGAGTATTTTTTCAACTTGTCATGCTTTTATCATAATTGAACTTTAAAATTTGTTGGTTTTGCGACCAATATAGTTTCAATACGACATATAAACATTATCAAAAATAGCTTGTTATTACTATTTTTTTTATCTTGTCCGTTCTAAAAAAAATTCAGCCATCTGTTTGTTTGCCAAAAGCATCGATTTTTCATAACTTGACGTTTGCGTATCCAAATACGGAAATGAACGGTAATAACCTTAAATAAAACCGGGTAATCTATTTCAAGTTTCTGCATAATTTGAAGCCATCATTTTTTACTATTATACATCAATTTTAGTGACCACCAGTCATGTCAATTTGTACTTGGTTTTGGCTGCGTTTCTACTTCAAAACAGTAAAGTTCAACTTCTTTTCATTGTATCTGTTACCAAAGTACTATAACATACTGATTTTATTATATATATGAATGAAATTGTAATTAAAAATTGTTGTTTTTTACAATTCCATACGATACCTCCATTTTAAAGTAATTAAATTTCTTTTTGATCCCCTACACAAATTGACGCTGACATTGTTTTCTTTTTCAACATACGTCATATAACTTTAATAAAATATGTGTCAGGGTCATGTGCATAGTGAATATTTGGAAAAGTGAAACAACAAACAAAGTTCTTTTTTATAGCGTTTGAGACTATGCGTCTTAGAAAAATTCATTTATACTGGAAACAAATTAATGATAGCTTATGGTTGGACAAAAGCACAAAAAATAGCAATAGAAAATGCATTGCAAAAAAAAATTTTGGAGGAAAACACATATGAAAAAAGGAAAAGAGGGTCAGTTAATTATATTTATATTTATAAGTTAAAACCCTTGCTTATTTAATTATCTCTTTACTAGGTAAGCTACATTAATCAGAGCAAAAACTAGCTTATCAAGTAAAACAAGAAGTTAGATAGAGATGTGTTTTAACAAAATTGAATTTATTCAAATGGCAAATTCTTGTCAAATTTAATCATTATTGATCATTATCAAAGTAAAATGCACAAGATTTGTCCCACCAACTTTCATTTCATTTCTGAGATTGATATCCAATTAATCGGGTAAAATATACAATACTTTGTTTTGAAATATGTTAAGCAGCTGATACAGCAGCCTGAAGAGAAGAAGCACCATTTTTTTTCTCAAAAAGTTTACTTTAATAATCTTTGAAATACCCTGAGAAATTAGACAAGGCTGCCGTTTCATAAAACAATCGCTAATAACGATTACCGTTAATTTTAGCGTGTAACTAACGACTACATAACGATGACGTTTACGTGCGTTTCATGAAGCATACGTAGACGAATCGTTAGAATTTTCGATCGCTAGACAATCGCTATTTATTTATAGCACGGGAATCCCCGGATATCGCACTCTTTGTCGTTGGAGAAAAATCTGCTAGCAAACGATTGAAAGTAAAAAAGACTCCAAGTACAAGAAATCTCAATTTTAAATGTTTCCTCCAACGAGGTAGACTTAATAAAATTGTTTCTTATTTATTAAAGAATAATTCATGCAAGTCCTAGATTAGTTGGAAATTTTCACATGACACACGATTTATTTTTGCGTAGCCAAATTGGCCTTCGTAGGCTATGCGTACCCGCAACCGATTTTATAATAAACTGTCATATGATCGGGAATGAAACGTGAAAGATACACGAAAAATATCGGCTATTTCCTGACTTTGTGAATTCAGTGAAGATAATGGCAAAAAATATTTTTTTAATTTGTATTATTAGTTATAATACCGAAATTAAATGTAAATGCACATTAAAAGAATAAAATTATACAGAATATGAATAAATATATGTAAAAAAAACTCGAGTGAAATATTATTGGTTATATTTGTTTCGCGATCATTACAAGTAATATCTAAAAAAGTCATATTGTGTTCCTGTAATATAAATCTATACTACTCAAGGAAGAGAACGATTTCATTGAGCAGCAACTCCTCTGAAACCATACAAAGTCGGAAATATTTGTGATATGACGTATACATGTAGTGTTTTGTAGTACGTATTTTTCTTTGAAACAATCTTTTTTCTACAGAAAACGACAATTTTATTTAGTAAATATCAAAATTCGAAGACCTTTATCAATCCGTGTCTTATACGCTTTCGTGTATGCTCAGTCGGCGTACTACCCGCGAAAATTGATTTTTGTTTTGTTTAAACTCTTGCCTAATTGTACTGCGATTTCGCGGGCATCTTTAGTATATAGAATGCTGTCAGGATCAGTAAACTATGTTTTTATAAAAATTTAATACTTAACTGAACAGTACGTCAATTAGTCTTCGGTGAAAATTTTAGGATGGTCTATCTGCCAACCTCGCGATGCAGCGATTTACTTCCGGAATCAATCGTACGGCGGTTATACCCCGTGGGCATGATAGAACTATTTACATATGTAACAATAAAATGTATTTAATATGGCCATATATTCTTGCAATCACGTATTTGCTAATTTGTAACAACAATTTGTAAAGAATTCAAACATAATTTAAGGTGACTCGAATGTTGCTGATACTGGAATTTTGACTCGAACTCGAAGTTTAACTTGGAAAATAACTCAAAATATAACTTGAAGATCATCTCGAACTTGAACTCGAACTATAATTGATTGTAATTAAGCCACATGCAATTTACCACCTCGCAACTCCTAGAATGTGTGTTCCAGATATAATACACGCAAAGAATTTTGAATATCACAAAAGGAACTGATAGGATTCAGTTTTATTCATGTTTGATAAAAAATGAGGTGTGCATGTTAAGGTTAGAACCTATAATTATGAGATATCAATCTTGACCCCGAAATTTACTAGGCCGACATAAATGGACCTACCAATCTTTACTAATACCCCCACATGCTGCATACTAATAGGAAAAACAGCAAATACCAACTTTCTTCTTTGGTTTCAACTTGCTGAGAATCGAATCCACGTCGATTCAAATATGAGTAAATATTTTATTTATTTCATGGCAGTGCTTAGGTTTCGAGATATAAGCAAAAAACCGCCCCATTTATGTTTAAGTTTTTGCAATGGTGGCAATTTTTTTATGTATGAAATCCCCGGATAGAATTTATAAACTAGACACAACTATAAAAATCATCCAGTTAAAGTTGGATGTATTTGGAACAGTAATTTCAGAGGAGAAGAATTTTAAAATAATTTACGACGACGGACGTCAAGTGATGACAAAGGCTAACATCGCCCTATTTTAGACTGTATGTGAAATGTTAAAGCTGCAAAAAAACAAGTACTAAATATCTTTTCGATCTAGACTATTTTTGACATATCAATTTTCAGAATAATTTGATGATTTCTGAGTGATATTAAAGTCTAGGGACACGTGAGTTTTATAA